ATATTTACATACACAGGAATTCACAGATAAGTAGCGAAACTCAAAGAAACTGTTACATTCAGGGGTTTATATACCATTTTAACAAAGAAAGGGGGTTTTAAGGTATAATAAAATCATGACAAAAAAAAAAGAAATGTATGGCAGAACTAATGGAAGATAAGGATTATTTTACGTAAGGTTTGCTTAGGCAAACTCATCTCTGTATGGACTCTCCATCGCAGGGGAAAAGAGTTGCCCTTCCCTTTCTGGCACAGGGTGAGGATACCTCATAAAAGTAAATTTATGGCTTGCTTTTAGGCAGATAAAAGGAGGGCACCATATTCTTCCTGCATCTGCTGATTCTCAATTGCTTTCAGCTTAAAATAATCCTTATGTCAAAAAGGTGTATTTGGGGTGGTGTATCCTGATCCCATTCATCTGCTTTTAGTTTTAACCAAATACAACAGGTAAACACCCAAATTTTTTTAGTTTTTGCCCATAATGGAAGAGGAAAAAAAACTAAGGAAGATATTTCACAATTGTTAGATAATAAATGAAAGATAGGTAACAGTACTTTAGATTCTAATATTGACACTATAATCAATCATACAATCATATGAGGGAAATCTGACTGAGCTACAGATGAGGAATCCTAGACAAATTTTCTCATATTCAACAACCACTGAGTGAATACATTTCTGAAAAGAGAAAGGAAATATTGCATTCTCATGCAGTAGGAAGCACTTCATGTCATACTTTTGCAATAAGAAAATGTACACCATGCTGTCTTACTGAATGGACAAGTTACAGTCAGCTTTCCTCTCTTATGTGTGTGCTAAAATTTTATTTCATACATTTCATAAATGCACAAGTGTTGAATGTGGGTGTATACAAAGGTGAGTAGAAGGAAACAAGAAAGAAAAATTAAAATTCATTGGATTGATCACTCTATTTAGTTGTTTATAAATTTGAAATTGAAAATATCTTACAAAGAAGCAAAAAAGATGGCTGCCCTTCAATAAATGATGAACTTTCAAAGCTTGCAAAAAAATTATTCAAATATTGCATTCTGTTGATGCATATGTAAAAGGAGGGTCTCAAAGGAGTGACAAGCTAGACCTTATTAGGGAAGCATTTGACATATCAAGCCAGTAATTATGAGATGAATAGTTCCAGGATCGGAGCTGACCTTGTGACACAGCAGGTTAAGCTGTCACCTGCAGTGCCCATCATCCCACATGGGGGCCAGTTCAAGTCCCAGCTGCTCCACTTCTGATTCAGCTCCCTGTTGATGCACCTGGGAAAGCAGCAGAAGATGGCCAAAGTATTTGGGTCTCTGAACCCACATGGGAGACTCTGAAAAAGCTTCTGGCTTTGGATTGTCCCTGTTTCAGCTGTTGTGGTCATTTGGGGGGTAAACCAGTGGGTGGAAGATCTCTCCTTCTGACTCTCCCTTTCTCCCTCTCTGTAATTCTGCCTTTCAAATGAATAAATCTTAAAAAAAAAAAAAAATAGGCCAGCACTGCAGCTTACTGGGCTAATCCTCCACCTGCGGCGCCAGTACCCAGGGTTCTAGTCCTGTTGGGGGCACTGGATTCTGTCCCACTTGCTCCTCTTCCACAGCAGCTCTCTGCTTGTGGCCCGGGAAGGCAGTGGAGGATGGCCCAAGTGCTTGGGCCCTGCACCAGCATGGGAGACCAGGAGGAGGCACCTGGCTCCTGGCTTTGGATCAGCGCAGCACGCTGGCCGTGGCGGCCATTTGGGAGGTGAACCAACGGAAGGAAGACCTCTCTGTCTCTCTCACTGTCTAACTCTGCCTGTCAAAAAAAAAAAAAAAAAAAAAAAAAAAGTTCAGGATCATGTATGACAGTTGAGTAGTTAGTTGCTTTCAGACAACACTGCCCTTTTCAAGTATACATAAATTCAAAATCTAGAAAATAGCTGGGCAACAGTGCCAACGAAACACCATAAGCATGGAAAGTATAAATGTACACAGAGATTGAGAACATGTAAGTTCAGAACCAACAGTAACAAGTATTACAAAACTGATTATGAAATCCCAAATTCTGTCAGAAATACAGTGTGTGACAAGTTTTCTTAGAAGTGTGGAATTGGCTGAGCATTATTCAGCAAGAAACTTTCTTCAGTTGGCATTCTTAGGAAGAATAGAATTGAATTTCTGTGAATCTTCACAAAAGGAAATTCAAGTCCATTGTACATAATCTTAATTTCAAACATACTCTGATTTTTAAGGAAAACTAGTTATTATTCTCAGCTCAAGGTACTGTCTGTCATTAATTAATTTTAAAATTCCTGTATAATCTGAAGGGATATTTATTATAAGGGATGACCTAAAAACAAAGTATGTTCTCAGTATAAATTTCCAATATCCTGTCATCTAAAACTACAGTTTCCTTTTCATTTATAAAAATTGCTATTCCAGTTAGGCAACCTATTTTTTAAAAATCTTTGTATGGTTCCAAAGCTTCTTTTGAATTAAAAAAAAAAAAAAAAAACAGGTATGAGAAAGGAGAATACAAAATTATTTATTCCTTTGCTTTGACCTTCTCTCCTCTTTAAAAACACCAATGCTAGTAGCTGAACTAGACAGAACTTGTTGATACGGGGATGCTGAGATTTATATCTTTTCAACAACAGAACTTTTATTGCCACAATTGCCCTAAGCAAACTTTTAAACATACAAAGTCTTCTGCCTTCTCTCTCCAGGCCTCCAAGGCTCAGATACCCAAAGATAGCAGCAATTCCAAGTTCCCTAAACTAAGCAGGTTAGTCCCATCCTTCAAACCCACTCCTTTCTATTTCCAAACACCCATTTCTGCAGGACAATTCCCAACTAAGTGTTTATCAGATGCGAAATTCATACTGTGTTAATGCCAAAATATCACACCTCAGATTACTTGCTAATTGCAAAAGGAAATGCTTGCAAGGGAAAGACAGCTTGTCATCTCATCTAAGAGATCAAATTTAGGATTACTAATAGGACAATCCTACTTCATATGCCTTCTGAAGTACACTGTTATTTATGAATTAGTTATGTCAAAAATATAAAGCCTAAATCTATTCAAGCCTTTGGGCTTAACTTTTCAAGTTTACAGAATATACAAGGGGCAGAGGGAACAATTTAAATACCATGAGGAGGAACTATCAATAAAATGCAGATTGTGGATTACTCTGCAAGACTTCTGACATGGTTTCTTTAAAAGGAAAACGCCATCAAAAAAGGAAAGAAATCAGAGAACTTCAAATTAAATGAGACTACAACAAATAAATGTAATAATAACTGGTTTGTGGCTCAAAAAAATGACTCAAAAGGACATTTTGGGAAAAACTGGAGAAATGTTGATATATACTACATATACGTTTTAGACTTTAGGGAATATTCTTAAATAAGTGCTGTGTTACAGTATATGGAAAAATGGCCTTACTCTTAGAAAATATATACTGACAGTGTTTAGGGGTGACACTTTGAAATGTTCAGCACAAATGATGAGATAGGTAAATAAAGCAAATGAGGCAAATCTGCTAATAACTGAAAACTAAGTGGTAGGCATGAGTGTTCAAAAAGGTCATTAAACTCTACAATGTTAGAAAAAAGAACAAGACTGCCTAATAAAAAGTGGCAAAATGAAGGGATCTTGAAAATAAAAATGTGAAAGAAGCCGTCTTCTTGCCTATTCTCAACCACCTCATCCCAACAAAAAAGGGACATACATAGTAGTCAGAAGATCTAAGCTTCTGTAACTGGCCCTGGCTCTTCTTCGCCACCAGTTTCATTAAAATCACTTCCCTAAGGCTGTTTCATCATCAAAACAGATCTATCAACAAAGACCATTTCAGAAGGGAGTATGTGGTACAAATTAGGTGAAATGAACGACTGACAGAAACGCAAGATACAATTATGACGGTATTTGTAATAAAGTGGAAATATCAAAGGCACAAAGCCCTAAGCGAATTTTATAAGCCACAGGAAATTTCTGCGTCCTGACAGCTCGAGTTGGCACAGTAACCCCCCATAGCCGGACACCTTACAAATGCTAAGAGGGGGCTTTTGTACTGTCCAGTTCTCCTTTCACCTTTCAGTCTTATGTTTAATGGTACCCAAAGACATCAAATTCTGTACACCCACAGTCCAAACCTGAACACTTTTGTTTTTAAGCTGACAATATTTAAAAAACAAAAAGCTTCCCCAAACAAAGGGAGCGCCTTGTCCAAAGGTCTCCCATGCTGGCAGAACTGGGCTCACTTGGACGGTTTTTTTCCTCTCCAGCAGAATCCTCCTTAAAAGCATGAAAACTTGGGATAAGTTGGAAGGAACTCTTCCATGTCGGGAGCACGCTAAACCTGAGATCATTCTTGCCAGCTCGGTGAGCTGTTTGCATCTCTACGGTTCTCCTTAGGGCCCTACCTCTGCAGACAATAACGGGACTTCCAGGGCAGAGCGCGGAAGTCCCTCTGACGAGAACGAGCGTGCGAGCGGGGGGACTGCCGGTCACCTAGACAAAATGAGGGGGCCTTGAGCCGCCCACTTCCGAACCCCCTTTTGGTCTCTTCCTACGATTCAAGAGATTCGGGGGTGGGCTATGGCGCGAAGACTATGGGGCTCTACGAATCGTACAAAGGACCAAAGGCACTGCCGAGAGAGAGGGACAAGAGAAGAGGCAAAACCAGGCTGGGAATACACAGGCTCAAGGCCTGGGAGGTGAGGCGGCGCGGGAGGAGGAGAGGCGGCGGCCCGCGCAGCCCCGGCCTGCGGCAGCCGAGGGAGCGGGCTGCCGCGTCGCGCCGGGAGCCCTCCCCCGCCGGGGCCGGAGCAAGATGGCGGGCCGGCCGCTGCCGCCTCCGCGCAGCCGGTCCCCTCCCCCGCGCCCTGGGCGCTCCCGACGACCCGCGCCGGCCTCGAGACCCCCCAGGCCTGCGCCCCCGGAGTGAGGCGGCGCAGGCCGCGCGGGAGGGCCTCTGCCTGCTGCAGCGCGGGGCGGGCGGGGGCGGGGGGCGCTTACCGTGAGCGGAGCGGATCGGCCTGACTGGAGCCCTGAGGAGGAGGAGAAAGAGGAGGAGGAAAAGGAGGAGCACGAAAAACTACACGGCGGCAACGGCGGCGGCTCCCATTGCGGAGCAGGCAGCTGAGCCGTGGGAAGGGGGGTGAAGGGGTTCGCGTGCAGCCCGCGCGCTGCCTCATGGGTAGGCTCCAGGTCAGCCTCCGCGCGTCCGGGCTCCCGGTCTTCTCGCCGACGCGGGAGGCGGGGGGCGGCCCGCATGTGCGCCGCGTCGTGGGCCCTCGAAGGCCGTCGCCACCCGCCACGCGCCGGCCGCGGGCGAGGGCCGGGGCGTGCGCGGCGATGGGTTCGGGCCTGCTCGCCGGCCAGCCCGGAAATTTGGGGTGCCGGGAGTCCACAGGCTCCCCCTGTGTTTCAGGCCCTGCTTGTGTGTAAGGGCTCTGCCTCCACAGGCTTGGATGGTAGGAAAGTCAGCATCATGGACGGGGAGGACTGTGCCTGAGAGACGAAGACATCGTCCAGATGAGGAGCGGTTCTTTTATTAAGCGGCTAATTTTACCAAGTTCGTTTCAGCTATAACTTTCAAATCCTGACTGCTATATGGATTTTCATGTCATATGTAAGAAAAAAAAAATTACCAGTTTATTTGCAAGGAAAAAAATCTGCCAAGGCAATGCTCGCATAATAAACACTGGACGTTGTGTTTTGATTTGTAAGGAAGACACCCTCTATTGGTTGTCTTTACAAGGTCAAGGACAGTAAGTGGTCCAGCATTAAGAGTGACCAAGGCTTGAACCGTTGCCTCACCAGAGCCATGTTACACACTTCATCCAGTCAACCACTGAGTCTCTTTTTAGACCGACCCCAATTCTCCTCACGTGTGTGTCATCCCAGAGGCCTCGCTATTGATGAACACGCCCAGGTTAATCTCCCCTAAAAGCCGCCAGGATCACCTGTAGTGCCTACCTAGCGTGGCTACAGGTCACATGGAGGAAATAGAATCTCTCCTCAACCCTCCTCGTTGTCTGGTTGGGAACGTGTAACAAAAGATAGGTCAACAACAGGAGGGGAAAAAAAGTTATTATTCAGTGTACACCGTGTGGAAGAAATCTCAATGAATGGTAACTCAAGGCAGTGATTTAGAACTCTGGCTTGTCTGCTGGTAGCATCTTCAACAAAGAACAGTACATCTGTGGAGCAAAGACAGGACAAAGGAAAGCAGTTTTAGGGTTCCAAAGGCAGGAAACTGGAAAGGTAAACATATGGGTTGGGACGAAGGCAGTAATGTTGGTTTGTAGAGTCCTCTGATGCTACCTCTTAGCTCTCAGGATTTGCCCCCTGTGAAAAAGAATTTATATTGTTTCCAAAAAGCAGGGGAAGGGGAAACAGCTCTTCCTTTTGCTGCTTCTTGATAGTCTTTAACTCAAAAGGATTGTGAGAGAGACATTTCATTCTGGTTTTCTTCACAGGCAACCATGACTCTTTCCTTCTAGGTCTTGGATAGTCTACTAAGATTTCTGTTTCCTGCTAGCCCTAAAAATAAAAAGAGAAAAAAAGATAAAAGAGCAAGCAAACATAGAAAGTTAGAAATGCCAAGATCTTAGAACACCTTTAAGTCATTGTTTTTCAAATATAGTTCCTAGGCCAGCACCGTGGCTCACTAGGCTACTCTGCCTGTGGCACCGGCACTCTGGGTTCTAGTCCCAGTTGGGGTGCTGGATTCTGTCCCAGTTGCTCTTCCAGTCCAGCTCTCTCTGCTGTGGGCCGTGAAGGCAGTGGAGGATGGTCCATAGTGCTTGGGCCCTGCACCCACATGGGAGACCGGGAGGAGGCACCTGGCTCCTGGTTTTTGGATCAGCACAGTGTGCTGGCTGTAGCAGCCATTTCAGGGGAGAACCAACGGAGGGAGGACTTCTTTTTCCTCTGTCTCTCTTTCACTGTCTAACTCTGCCTGTCAATATATATGTGTGTGTGTGTGTGTGTGTGTGTGTGTGTGTATGGTTCCTAAAGGCTAGCAAGGCATTTTACATTATTGAAGTGAATATTTCATTCTGTAGTCTACGGTCTGGTCCTAGTTTGCAGAGACAAAAATTTAATGTTACCAGCTCCCAGAACTAAATTAAGTCCAAGCAGATAATTGATGCCAACTAAACTTACTAAAGACTGATGGATTAACCGAAATTTCTTTTTTTTTTTTTTCATGAAAAACTTAACCACCGTGAAGGCCAGAAAAATCTGGCCAAGGTATTGTCTTTAAAAAAGAGCATTTGTATGGGCCGGTGCTGCGGCATAACAGGTAAAGCCACTGCCTTCAGTACTGGAATCTCACATGGGCACCAGCTCAAGTCCCGGCTGCTCCACTTCAGATCTGGCTCTCTGGTATGGCCTGGGAAAGCAGTGGAAGATGGTCCAACTCCTTGGTCCCCTGCACCTGCATGGGAGATCCAGAAGAAGCTCCTGGCTCCTGGCTTCAGAGCAGGGAAGCTCCAGCCGTTGCAGCCAATGGGAGAGTGAACCATTGATGGAAGACCTTTCTTCTGTCTCTCTGTCTCTGTCTCTGTCTCTCTCTCTCTCTTCTATCTCCCCCCCATTCTCTCTCTGTGTAACTCTTTCAAGTAAATAAATCTAAAAAAATAAAAAATAAAGCATTTACATGAGAACCTGAATTGCCAGGGATGTCTGGTAAGATTGGAATCAGTATACCAGAAATTATTTAGGTGATTTAGCCTACTCCAGCCTTAAAATTACTCTTCTAGTGGCTTTGGCCTGGGGCCATCCCAGCTATTGCAGCCATCAGGGGAGTAAACCAGTGGATGAAAGATTCTGTCTCTCCCTCTTTCTCTGTTATGCTGTCTTTCAAATAAATAAATAAATCTTTAAAAAAAAAAAGAAAAAAACTTCCTTTGTTTTCTAGAACACCACTCTTGGTTCTCTGGATTTACTGTCCACTTTCCTATCATATTTTAGGAGCTTCTTGTTGCAGAGAGGGTCTCTGGCTAGACTTCATCCATAGTGTTATCTCCAAGCAAGATTTATATAAAGTGAAATATACACTCGGTAATGAGTGCAGCAAACTCAAATGAGCTGAAATTTACAAGATTTGTGTTGATCCTTTTATAGGATGGGGTGGTACCTGGGACAGGGCTTAATTGAATATTCACATAGGGTGGAGTTTGGGGTAGGGCTAGAGTCCCTCCTGTTTACATGCCTCCTTTCTTGGAAATCTCAGAAGTGTCATGGTGTCAGGTGCACATAAGGCTATAGCACATGTCGGGAAACCTCAGAAGTATGGCATCAGGTGCATGGTGGGAGTGATTGTGCTGAGCATGGTAATTTAATTATCACCCCTGGCACACATTATACTGATTATGTTGATTTCAACGTCATCACAGCTACCCATGTTGCATATTTTCTAGCTGGAGGAACCCCAGCAACTGTGTCTACATGGAAGGGAGTGGAATTTGGGTGGTGCACACAGGGGTTGCAGCACCCATGCTGGCACTCTACAACTCCTCTTCATTAGCTAATTTCCTGTCTCCATCATGTTATATTTTCAGCTCAGCCTAGGCCCTTTTTAAGGTTTGCTGTTGTTGTTGACAGGCAAAGTGACAGGGAGAGATGGAGATTTTCTATCTGCTGGTTGAACTTGGGCTATTATCTGCTGCCTTCCACATGTATTTGTAGGAAGCTGGATTGTAGTAGGATTTGTATACCCAGACAAGACACCAAGGCCTCTTAACAGGATATAGTCTTTTATTATGCTGGCATAAAGCCCAGGTGGAATTTCTTATCCAAAATCCTGAGCCCTGGACAAAGAAGGGTTTTTCCCTTATATATGATTCTAGCCTCCTTGTCTCTCACATGGTTACCTGCATACATTTGATTGGATATTCTGGTGTAGGTGGTGGCCACAGGATTGATACAATACTGCCCATGGAAACAGTTACTGAAGTTTGTTGGTTTTTTTTTCCCCTACACAGAGTGAACTGTAAACCGGCTGGCAAAGGTTAACATCATTGCTCTGTACTAACAAGCAGAACCTAAAGTGGTTACACAGAAGCAGATAGGAACTACAGCTGAAGCATCCATAGGCAAGCAGATAACAACTACATTTCATTCCCAGAGCAGATGCCTCTCTTTTTCTTCTTCTAACCTTGGGGCAGCCTCTACCACAACTTTAATCATGTCAGTTAGAAACAAGTTTAATTAAAAAGAGGCCTCTGTCCCAGGATCAGAGATTTGGAGTAGCCAGGACTCAAAATAGTACTCTGATATGGGATGTGGGCATCCCAAGCCATGGCTTAACTGTCTGCACCACACCGTTTCCCTCTTTAGCCCCCTTTTGTAAGCAATCCACTCATTGTGGGATCCTCACAGTAATTCTCTTTAAGGGGGATCATGTTCCAAACTCTTCCCTGACTAGGAAGGCCCAAGTGCTTGTGCCCCTACACCCTCATGGGAGACCAGGAGGAAGCACCTGGCTCCTGGCTTCGGATCGGCACAGCGCCAGCCGTGGCGGCCATTTGGGGGTGAACCAATGGAAGGAAGACCTTTCTCTCTGTCTCTCTCACTGTCGAACTCTACCTTTCTAACTCTACGTGTCAAAAAAAATTTTTTTTGAAACTTCCCTGACTGATGGTAATGGATGTAGATGATTCCCTGGTTCCAGTCCCCAACTTTGTTGTGTTCATTCATGAAGTTTGGGCAGAATTAATTCTTCTGCCCCACAGCACATGCAAGAATGATCTAACTAATGTCAGAATTACCCTTATTCTCTGAATCAGTTTTTGTCCCAGAGGCCAGAGTGAAGACTTGTGTTTTCAGGGAAAAGAGAAATTCTTTGGATGGTGTGGTATTAGTGTATGAATACCAGAAGTGTTAAAATTTTATTTCTTTTCTGCTGAACCACCCAAGAATAAAGCTAACACAATAAAAAGAACACAAGGAAGAGGGAGAGTTGGGAGAACTGATGGTAGAAGAAGGAAGCCAATCCTTCAGATTATCAGAAATTTCCAAATCAAACCCAACCTGAACCCCATGCTACCTCTAGAATACTCAGCTATATGAACCAGTAAATTTCCTTTGTTGATAAAACTGAAAAGGTCCAGAATAAGGCATTTTAGTATCAAAAAGTATTTTGAATTGAATGTCTTTGAGTTTCCAAATTCTTACCTGCCTAAAAGTGGAACCT